AAAAAAAAAGCAAATTTGCTGGCATTTTGAGTGCAGCACTTTAACAGCATCATCTTTTAGCATTTTAAATAGCTCAGCTGGAATACGGTCACCTCTGCTTGCTTTGTTGTTGTTCAGCACTTTTGAAAGACATCAAGTTGGTGAAGCAAAGTGCTTTTTATGGAGGCAAAGAAGGCAGCACGACAGAAGGAAAAGTTTATAATGGACATGAATAATAAAATACAAGTAGACATTTTGGCAATAGCAGTAATTCTCATCTTTAGTATTGTGCAGAATAATCATAGGTTTAGGAACTCACACTTCTCCATTTCCAGGTAATTTGTCAAAATACTCCTGGAGACTAAAATTGATCAGAGTTCTGGTTATATCTTTGAGCTTTAAAGTTATACAATGATAGAAACTCTCCAAGTGTAGGTTCCTCAGTTATTTGTCAATCATGGGATTGGGGGAAAGTAATAATCCTGTGCTCAAATTGCACAGTGATGCTTCTGTATCTGCAAAAAAAGCAGGCATTTTGAGAAAAAATCATTCTATTATAAACTTGAAATAATGTGAACATAACTTTGCCTTTCACTCAAATTCCTCTTAGTATATCTCAAAGGAGAAAAATAGAAGACACAATCTATCAAGATTGCCCCTCCCCCAAGACCAACACAAAGTTAGTAGAAACTCTCCAGAGATTTGGATAAACATGTTAGGAGCTGGGACCTTTGTTATATTGGAATCAATGTCAGTCATAACAAGCAGATTACATCCTATGAACAAATAGAAAAATGGTATAAACTTATATACAGTGATACTTCAAATCCTGATTTTCTTTTACAGTACCCCACTACCACCATCCTTTTTCCATCCCACATCTCCTACTTGTTTATATTTTCTGCATTCCTGTGCTTCTGTCTAGAGAATTTCCAGAAATTAAGCTGAGAATTGTCATGCCACTATTGAACTCCAAGAAAGAATTTGCCCAGTGATCTTTATCTTACTGGAATAGTGGAAATAAAATACCCAATTTACATATTCCTGAATTCTATAAGTTGTCTAACTCAACAATCTCATTTTTAGGGACACCACATAAATATGACCCAACTTTCAAAGGCCCCATTTATGACAGGTAAGATTACTATGTTGGTGAATGATTTGAGAGTAGTATTGCATGATTATTTGTGCTGTTATTTTTCAGTACACTATGTCTAGAGTGACCGTTTATTGCCATCTGTTGATTCCCTTTGGGAAGTAATGCCAGGATGATTCTATTGAAAATCCAGGAGCCTAGAAGTCTGGATCATTTCTTTGAAATGCATGGGTTGGACTTAGTAGCTAAAGCTCTTTTTCTTCTACTTTCACTCCTTGCTTTGTGCATGGACATAGTTTGTTTTATAGCTATAGTATTATTTAATTGTAATATAAGGATAATAATATAATTTTACCGATATTATTGATCAGAGGTTCACATTTCAATTTGTATCTTATATTCAACAATTCATAAATAAATTTATCAACCAATATTTTATTTTTATGGGGCCACATTAGTTGCCTTATTTTGATGATCAGACAAATATTTGTTTTGTAGGATCTTAACCAATTATTATCATGCTACCTCATGACTTGATATTGAATGGAGAGTGTTCTTATTCTCTGATAATACGTATTTATCTGTTAGTTTAAATGTTAAATGTTGCCAGCATAATTCAGATTTATGGTAGCTTACAAACAAAAATTAAAATAACCATCCAACATCACTCTGAGTGATTGTTGTTTTTTTCTGGCTGAAATTCAAACATTACTAAGAGGAAAAGACTTCAGCAATTACTGTGCAGGAAAAACATTATTTTTATACTAGAATACCTTAGATTAGTTTTTCTTTAGCCTGCCCCAGCAGTAGGATGCCTACAGGATGGAAGCTTTGTTTTTAAAGGTATCTCAGTAAATGATAAGTTGTGTATTATGGTAAGCAGAGTAAGTGGATGAATATATTTCATACTGAAATAGTTCTTTTTAAATTAAGGAATCACAAGATAGTTTTCATAAGGATATATATCATGATAGCAGTCATAAAGTTATGTATCATGATAGCAGTCTTCCAATATATGAGGGGCTGTCATGAATAGGAAGGGGTCAGTCGATTTTCCAAAGCACCTGAAGATGAGACAAGGAGCAAAGGATGGAAGACTATTAAAGAGAGATCCACCTAGAATTAAGGAGAAATTTCCTGACAATGAGAACAGTTAATCAGTAGAATGGCTTGCCTCCAGAAATTGTGAGTACTCCATCAACTGGAGGTTTTAAAGAAGAGATTGGACATACATTTGTCCAGAATGGTATAGGGTCTCCTGCTTGAGCAGGGGATTGGACTAGAAGACCCATTCTGATATTCTTTAATTCTGTTATTCTGCAAGCCCAATAAGGTTATTTGATATTAGATCTGGATTACTTTGTTTCCTATTAACTTCTTTGTGTGTAGGATTAGCAGGCTTGAGCTTAACATACTATTTTCTCTGAATCATTGTAATAGTGATCAACATCATAATATGCCTGTGTACATCTCTAAAAATTAGAGGTGGTGGTTTCTGCTTCTGAGGAGTTAATGTCCACTCCCCATTTTCACTACACAGGGCAAAGGAGGAATGTGTTGGTTATATTTGCCTGTCCCTTATTCTTGAGATGGGCTATAGTTTATTTGTCATTTGATTAGAGAGTTGCAAGTCTGAATTTGAATGATGACATGTTGATTCAAATAGCCAACTAATAACTACCATGTGACCAGAGATGAATATATTGTTACTTACTCTCACTTAGCTTGTTTCTTCTTCCAGGAGCTGCACAGATATCATCTGCTGTATCTTGCTACTGGTTGCAATTGGGGGCTATGTTGCAGTGGGTATTGTGGGTATGTATTCTACTGTTTATTATTTTTTCTGCCTTGAGATAATATTTTTGTTGCTGAAAGTTGGATATCAAATTAGATGGAGAAGGAGAATTATGACAGTCAAGAAGGTATATCATCATAGAAGGAAATAAGTAGGATTCAACTAAAGGTATCAAATCTTAAATAATGGTTTGCTGTTTAATCCTATTGCTAATGTCTGCTGCACCAAGGGTTTGACCCTTTTGTAACAAATTTTATACTTGATCTTTGAGAAGAATATTGGGGGCCACATTCTAAACCATACTGGCTGGCATTGGGACACAGAAACATTTGATTTTATCTCAACAATATTTAAATGAATTAAGACAGGGGTCCACAACCCTGTTAGGAACCTGGCCGCACAGCTGGAAGTGAGCAGTGGGCAAGCAAACAAAGCTTCCGCTGTATTTGCAGTCACTCCCCAGTGGCAGTATCATCATCTCAGCTCCACCTCAGATCATCAGGCATTAGATTCTCATAGGAATGTGAGCCTTACTCTAAACTGTGCATGCAAGGGATCTAAGTTGCACACTCTTCCTCTTCCCCTCTCTGTCCATGGAAAAATTGTCTTCCACAAAAGTAGTCCCTGGTGCCAAAAAGGTTGGGGACTTCTGAATTAAAACATATATAGTTGAAATTATTACTTCTAAGAATATATTTAATAATTTCCCCTTTCTGTTGCATTAAATACTGCTACTTCCTTGGTAATATATAATATAAATTGATAACCTTTTTTTTAATTGAAAATTTTATAAAATTTTACAATATAAATCCCCCCCTTCCCCTTCCCACCCTTCCACCCCCCTCCCTCCCCCCTCACTTCCCAGTGCCAATCACAGGGTTAACAATAACATAATCATACTCTAATTAACATTAATCAACTATTAAAATAACATATCTGTAACCTCCTTTAACTCTCTTTTAAACAGTACAATTAT